CTCATTTTGCTTCCAAATAGCTGTTGCTGCAGCAGTGTTACTGAGTCTTGCACTATAGCTGCCCACAGGCCTTCTCCTCCTGTGCAGCACAGGAACTCTCCCAAGGTCAGTGAAACCACAGATGCTTCTCAGGCAGTGCCAGTCATCCCTCCAACATGCAGGGTCCTCAGAACAAGTCAAGGTGGCAGCCTCTGTTCGATCATTTACATTGAATTACTGCAAAGGACTTTTACTGTTGGAAACCACTGGGGAGGAGTTCAGGTCCCCGTGATCAAAGAGATGTTCAGGAGTGAGACAGTTGAATATTAATGCTCAGGAATGAGAAGGTTGAAGCTTCCTCCCAGTTGGTTTTCACTGAAACTCAGTATTGCTTCATTAAGAATCACAACCAACAGCAAGACTCCTATGGGCCACAGGAAAGGGTCAGCTGGCAGCAATAAGCCAGGAGGTATATGAATGGCTGGGTATCCACTGGCATGCAGGCTGGGAGATGGGTACACGCAGGATATTTGCCAACAGTGGGGCTAAGTAATCTTGCTCACAAAGGTTACGTGCTGGCAATGCCAGAGGTGGAAGAAAGAGGCAGCAGACAGCTGGGGCCTTACTGTCAAGGGCCTGCTAGCAAGGCCACATATCACACCATGCAGGTGGCTTTGTGCCCAAAACATGCACACCACCAGTGTGCCTGGGACCAAATGAAAGGCACGCCAAAAAAAATCCCACACTATGTGTTGCACCCCATGGAGGGGCAAATTGATTTCTGTGGCCCTTTCTGCTGACAACAGTTGTGGAACATATTAGTGCAGTATCAATATGCACGAGAGTGGGATTTGGAACAGATTAAAACAATGAACAGGAATCAAAAACAACTTACTCTGTCTGCAATGACTGCCTTTCGCTTGCCGACATCTCCGGACAACCCTAGGAAGAAAAACAATAAATGTCAAAATCTCCAGAATTTCTCCTCAAACTTGCAAGTGGAAATAGACTGCCTTCAACTCCCACAGCTCAGATGCTGACAAAAGACAAGAGAAGCGTAACTCCAGCAATCCTTTAGCTGATTCAGTGCATTGTTTTTATCCTTGTAAAACGTGGAATCTACTCTACTTCTAAACAGTAACTTAGATATGATTTCCTAAATGTTTGGGAACAGATTTTGAAAGAGTCCAGCTCTGGACACTATCATTTAAGAGAGGACTGAGGCCGTGGACAGATGTGCTGTTGCTGTGTCTCTGGAGTGTTCAAAACAGCAAGGAGTGCAGACCTCAACAGCTGAAGCAGCACTTCAAAAGTGGCCAGAATGTTTAAAAAATGCCCCTTGTATGCATCAGCAGTCCTCTAGCATCCCCAAATGCTCCACTCCATCCCAACCATGAGGGAGGAGAGAAGGAAGGTGGACAGCCAATGAGCACTCTCCTGTGCACTCATCTATCCTCATGAACTTCTGAAGGCCCATATGCATGCAGTGATTCCTGCTCTCCAGACCTCTGCATGTCTGCACAGTGACAAATTTGAAGAACTCTGGAATTTGGAGTGCTTCAAATGCATGTCTGAATACCCCAAGTATTCTTTTATGATCATCCCTCCTGGTACCGAGGTGCTCCATGAATGTTTATGATAGGATACCTCAGAATAGCCAGTTACCATACTTAAGGAACTCTGAGATTGTTGGTTGAAAATAAGTCGTATTTAACTGTACTGTAAGGAAAAAATGTTATCTCTCTCAATAAAAACATACAATTCCTTTGTGTACCAAAAATTAAGTTCTGGATACAGATTAAAATCTATTAGCTTCAAGTCTTAAAATTTACCAAACTGATTCTACATTTAATTGTGGGAGGCTGGTTTTGCACTTGTGCTGGGGACTGCATGAAGAGGAGTCCACCAAAAGCCATCAGACCTTATTTGCAGGAAACTCAGGGTAAAACACCCGAATTAGAGATCGCCTGAACATTCAGTACAGTTGACACAGGCCCACGTACCATATACACAGTCACCAGCCAAACCCACTGCACCCGAGGAGAGGGTTTCATCATCCTGGTGTCTAGTGGATATCATACAAGGTCTGAGAGAGCATCTGCAGAAAAGCACTGACCTGCTGTGATCTGCAGCTCCCCTACCAAGCTCAGCACAGGAGCTAGGCTGGCTTCATACATTACTGTTACCCATAAGGGAACATGGCCATTTTCACCACCTTGGCACTCTCCAGTGCTTTTTCATTCAGCAGGCACCATGTTTTAATTCATATAAGTATCTCCTTGGAGCCTCAAGAGCCTGCCAGCAACGTCTGGAACACTGTTTTCCAGTAAAATCAGAAAAGCATGGTTTGTTTAGCCTAGCAAAAAAAAAAAAAATGCTGAATGCAAGGAGAATTACTCTATAAACACATTGGTGATGGTGGGTAAACACCAGGGAGGAAGGATAATATTGGTATAACATCCACATGGGCATGACTTGGGCATGAATACTGAGACTGGAAATTAGAAGAAAGTTTCTAACCATCAGAGCAGCAAAGTCCTGGAATGGTTTTCCAAATGAGGCAAAGGTGATATGAAGCCAATTTGTTTCACTATGGAGCTGAGGAGGCTCATGGAAAAGACAGTACCATGGAACAGGCATGATCCTGGATTTGGGAATTTAAGCTAGTGACCAGAGGCCTCAGGTGACCGATTTACTGATATCCCCAAGAGAAGGTTACAAGATAATTTGATCGATGTGTGTGGCTGCTCACATACCAGGTGGCATCTAGTGGCACAGAGCTTCTTGTCTTTGCTGATGACACATGTCAAGTTCTGGGAGTAGAGGCTGAAGCTAGAGAAATCTGTCTTGGGGTGAGATGCAACTTACCAATGGTCAGGTCAGACGGACTTGGCTTCTAAGGGTGTTTCCTCCACCTCAACACACACACACACACACACACACACACACACACACACACACACACACGAGGCGTCCTCCACCCTCAACAGAGAGAGAGAGAGGGAGAGAGAGAGAGGGAGAGCGCGAAGGTGTGTGAGTTCTCCTCATGGCAGAAAAACTTCTCAGGTGCCTGGCTGGTGAGTTTTGCTTATGTGCTTATGTCAAGCCAAATGCCGGACTTGAGGTCCTGGTCCCAGGTCAGACCACCGGAGACTGTTAGAGTTTTGCGTCTTTTGTGGCATGGGACATAATCCACTTCCTGGGATCTCCTGGGTGTATTTCGCTTAACAAATTCCTTGCCAGTGCAGATGTTCAAAGTACCAACAGTGGCCTTGCTCTCTCCTGTTCTCATCCTGCAGCTCATTGCAGTTTGGGGCCTTTGCTCTTCTGTACTAAGCATGCTGTAGCACATGCAAGGGGAGATATTTCATAGCTTGTGGTCTGTGGCAAGGTGGGACGAGCATTCTTCTCGACTCCTCTGGACTTATCCATGAAATGGTTACATGTGGTCACAGGCCAACTGGACTTGGTGCCCCAAGTGATCCCTTCCAGTCTTCTGTTTACAACTGGTCTTTTGGCAAAGTGGAGGCAAATGGAAGTCATTAACCAAGGAAAGATCCTAGGACGATTTCTCTTAAAAACTGCTAACTACCAGGACTGCAGGAAAGCAAGCCAGGCCATAGTTACTAATATCTGTACTAGTCCAGCTGCATCCACACTACCAGAGCTTTCTTTCCCTTAATTTGACACAAGTCTCACTTGAATGTCTTTTTGTACCGTGACTTAATTTTGGACACAGGTAGAAAGAACTATCCAAGTGCCTTGAAATTAAAAACTTACCTACAACAGCCTTTGCTTTACCTTCATAAAAAGACCAAGCTAGAGCCAGGGCCTCAGTAAGACATTCTTGTTTCAGAAGGTGATCCACTCTCTGCAAACAGGAGGTACAAACAATGAGACTGAAGAAATCCAGGAAAGAGGAGCAATCGTTTAAGATGGGAGTTTCCCAACCCAGGGGGTTGTGCTGTCCATTCCCTACTTCTAAAAGACAAGTGACAACAGCAGGCACAGGGTTATTGGAAGTGTTATCACAAGCTAGAGCAAGTAGAGTCTCAGGCCCTTTCAAGTTTAAGTGTTGTCAGGGAGTCTCTTGAAACACACGCCACACCCAGCAGGGAAGCTAACTGTTAACACACGAGTTTTTGGCTTTTACACTAAAACTTAAGGAGGGTTTGAACATTTTCCTAATTTCCAGTAAAGGAGAGGCAGGAAACTGTGTCAGTCTCAAGTCAGGCAGAAAGCAGGGCAAAGAGGCACCTCAGAGGCTAACTAGCGATGCCTCTCTGAATAAGGTGCCTTTCTGCCCTGTTTTCTTCCAGGTAAGGGGCTGTCAACCCAAAAAAAGTTGAGAAGTGCTGGTCTAGGGGTCACAAGCCAAGTTACTTGATAGGCCTCCTTTGGAGAGATTTTTAATGTTAACCATTTGAAGTGAAACCCTGGCCCCATTCAAGTCGGAAAGTGAAAGACCCTGGAGCCGTTCCACTCAAGAGCCTTGCCCAGCCTATGCCATAGCAAAGTTCACGTAGCACTCAAAGCTATGAATTTTCCCCCAAGAAACCCACCATTCACCATCACCGAAAGAATCCATTCCTAACCACCCTAGCATCTTGCTCTAGCCCCCTCATCTCTTCTACTACTCTTAGGGTACCACCCTGATCAACTAAGGTACAGATACCTCCTATATCACCACACCCTCTGAGGTCCTAGAGGAGCTTATATTGTTATTGGGAAACAGGAGATCACTTTCCCTTTTAATAATGCCCAAACTCACCCTGGTCTCCTTAACCTGAAAACATGACTACACTTTTAAATAGTTACACTGGACTGAGGTGGAGAAGACTTTTAAATCTCTGAATCAAAGGTACAAAAGCTGTTGGGAATATGCAGCTCAGGCAAAGGCAAAAACATCATAGGAAGGAAATGTAGACCAAACTGGATGAATGGCCACCGCAAGAATGAGATGGGAGCAAACAGCCTAGGAAACAGAAAAGGGGTTCAAATCAGACCTGAAAGAGCTACTAAGCTGCTTCTTGAAGGGATAAAATAAGAATTTCCTGAGACCAGGCCTTGCAAAAAAAAGCTACAACAAACAGCAGAGCCACAGAAATAAAAAGAAAATGAGGAAAAAGGGAGAATGCTATGGACTGAAGAGGGGGCCAAGAACTAATCTAGATAGGGCCCAAAACAAAATGAAACTGAATGGACCCAAAATGAATGGTGAAGAACAGGATGGTGGAGCTGGGGGACTCTACCCCAGCTCTACAGCCGATGGAACCTGAGGGATTTTGCCTGTGTCCATGCCAGGGTCAAACAGCTGGAAAGTGCGTCCATGCTGCTGTTATTTCTCCACCCTCGTTCTTTGTGACAAAGTAGACTGTAACCTAAAAAAGCTTGTGCATCTCTTAAAGAGTTAGTCTATGAGGTGCTACCTTGGAGCAGCTTTGCAAACCAAGTGCCAAGGTAGGACAGGACTGTTCAGTGTTAGACTCTGGAGGAAATAAACTCCAAAAGAGAAAGAGAGCTAATTTAAGTTAAAGGATAATGCTAGCACAAAACCAAACTGGTATCAACTAGCCATAAACAAATTTAAGCTGGATACTAGAAGGTTTCTAAGCAGAAGAACAGAGTTCTGGAACACTTTTCCAATTGGAATAGTGATGGTAAGAAGTCTAAGGAGTATTCAACTACGAGGTATTAAGAGTGAGCTTGATAAGTCTATGAAATGGGCCGCCAGCAACAACTGGGGACTGGATGCTATTGGTTCCTTCCAGTTCCATGTCCCAAACTGGTTAGTGACTCATAGCTACAGAGTACTGCATAACAATCCCCTGAACCTGTACTGCCTCACTACAAATCAGTAGTGGTAGAAACATTGCAAGGCACCTTTGTGAAGAAGATGCGTACAATCTCTATTCAGCACCCATGCATATGATAGACTGGAGCCTGGGGGCATGCTGTGCTGAAACCTGTACTCAGAAAATAGGGGTGAGTAGCAGTTACAGATTCAGAACACTCTACTTGGAACCTGCTTGATGAATTATATAGGCCAGAGCATCAATTCCTCCTGTCATCAAGCTACCTCTGAACAATGCATGCAACTGATTTTAGTTCAAATATGCAAGCCCCCAATCTTTTGACTTACCTCTCTCCAGCTTCTTAGTGTCATCACATGAACGGACTGAAAAGGTGGAGGGGGAAAAAAAAAAGAATGCATAAGGGAACTTCTCATGGGTGACTAGGTAAAGGACTAAGAATGCATATATTTGTACACCTCCACCACAGGGTTCACGTTACACATCTGGGCTACAATTATACTCCACAGGCTGGAAGTACTCCCTACCAGCTGTTATACAACTTCAGCTTCCCAGGAGTCCCCTTGAGAGTCTGGGGATGGATCTGTTCTGATGGCAGGGGGTGAGTGGAAATCAAGCACATGGGGCTTGCTCTTATTGCTCTACAAATTGGAATCCAGTGTCCCTCACACTTCATCTCTGCTGGAAGGGGGGAGTTGTTAACTTCGGCCTCATCTGGCATTATTTACCCATTACGCATTTATTCTGAAGTAGCACCTAGCAGGGAATTCTAGTCTTACTATAGGCTTTCCTCCACCGTGCATCTTGGCCAAGACCAGAAAGGATTTAAGAGATAAAAAATATGCATCAGTGGAGTTCCTGCACAGAAAACCTTCCCATTTAACAGTCTCAGGTGTACAGCTTCCTCAGAGATTGGAGTCTAGTGCTTCGGGCACTGGATACCCCAGTGAAGTGGGAGAGGAATCTCCCTGCTTGGCAGAGGATGACTTTTGCTAGACACCCACCCACACCACTCTGAGTTCCCTGAGATGACATCCAAGCATAGACACATTATGTTTCTAGAGGGCTCCCTATATTTACCTTTGTACCAAGGTAGAAAATCTGACTGCCACAGCTGCTGATGGACTGATAGCAGGCTTTTTCCCCAACCAGTGCCTGGAAAAAAAACAAAACATCATTTCTCCTGATACAAGGCTACTTTTGTTTCTGTTTTTGGAGGAGGTCTGTGAGAAATGGGTCTGGCTAAGCCTTGGGCATGTTTAGGAATGAAGAAATTCAAAACAGGAGTCAATAAGAAATAGCAGCTCACACCAAACCCAGTATGGAAGTGAGGGTGGAGTCCAGCAACCAGACCACGCTCACAATGTTAAGTATGAACTTCCCAGGGGAAGAAGTTACCCAGTACAGAGAGCCCTGTCTCAGATTCACGTGTTGGCAATGACAGTAACCCTGCTCACAGGACCCTGCAAGTAGCTGGAAAGAAAAAAAAAATACCATCTGAGAAATGACAGTTTAGGAGTAATTCCAGCTTTGCTCCTTCACAGCACGAGGCCCTTCTAGTCAGGTCTATTTGATTAAGCCAGTAAGAGATCATTAAGAGTACAGGGCAAAACTTAAGATAGGCCCTTCACCTGGACAGCACCCTTGACTGTTGTCTGCCAGTCACTACTCGCTTCACTTCTCCCCCATCCACATACTAAACTGGTCCACCCCTGCCCAGCATGAGATCTGGTGACATTACTGCAAAGATACAACAGCAGCTGGAAAACAGCTCAGCAGTAAGACTTGCTAAGTGCTGACGCTGTACACCTCCACTTGGCAGCATGCCCTGAAGTACACTACTGGGCTCTAACAATCTTTAGGGAAGTGAAGGGGGAAGAAGCAGCACCTATAGTGCCCAGTGCTTGAGGTTAAGATTATAGGAGGTATATGACTTTTAAAGACTCCCTTCCTTTCAATCTCAGAACTTGGAGAGAGCAGCTCTGGAAAAGGGAAAGGTGGAGACGCAGAAAGACCGTGCAGAGGCAACGACCTCCAACACGTGGCCACACTGGTATCCTCTTCTCAGCAAAAGAGTCCAAAGCTTGGCAGCAGAAAGGCACATCCTACACATGGGAATGTACAGAGGCAAGACTTGAAGGATCACCTGCTCAGGCAAACCAACATGAAACAAGCTTTTTTAAAGACCTTTTTAAGATGTTTCAAGAGATTCCAGCCTCTCCTATTTAAAACCACATTTGAAACAGAAAATATCGTTAAATCCATAAGTGAAATACTGGCAGGCTACAAGGCCTGTCTATTCTTACCAGAGCCTGGCTGACATTGCCCCCTGTGGCCAGTGATTTGAAGTGACTGCTGTTGTAGACTAGCTGAACCTCTGAAATCTCTATGGTCTCCAACTCCTCTTGCGTCTGGCGATCTATCACATGGAGCTTCTCCACGCTATCCAGAAGCACCACCGTGCGCGAATTCATCCACTGGGAAGAAATCACACTGCAAACTCCAGAAACATTTCACATGCACCCTCATCAACATGACAGATGCCCAGAGAAAACCTTAGAACACAAGCTAGAAGCAGCTGACAGCACTGTTAGACAGGATGCCTGAAGTATGGCTGGGTTTTGCATCTGTAACCACTCTAGGGTGGGAGGGCACGTTCATGTGAACCTAAAGGTGAAAACCAGAAGATTTTCTTCGGAGCATCCAGTTATCACAGAAACTGTCTCAAAACATAGTGTTCTCTGCAGCATATGCCTTTAGTTTAGAGATAAGTCTACCACAAACCTTGCTCTCTCCATACTATATTTGTTCTCAGACACCTGAAGATCCCAAACTATTTTATAAGTATAAAATTTATTCTTGACCTCTTGCAAGGGGAACAGGGGACCAAAGATGGCATCCGAGGAAGAGAATAACTCTGACCTGGGAACTTCAACGCCCAATATTTTGAATTTTAGCCAGGAGACCATAATCGCAGAGTGAGAAGGCCTTCTCATTTGTTCTTAGCATGATTTTTTTTGGCAGCCTTACATCTCTAGTCTAGCAAAGACAACTTTTCATCTTGCCATTACTGTATTTTATATTATATACTTATCATTTAACAAAATAGTTTTAGATTTTTGTTTTGTGCATTCCTATATGTTAGACATCAAACAGTAGGACAATGCATTAGCAAAAGACATGCCTCGTATAAAAGAGAATGCTACCATCTTCTTGTGCCAACTGAACTGCTACTTGGTACTGATACCTGAGAGTTCAAACCTGGCAAGAAAGATTTAACCCCACTAGCCCTTCCAAACGCTTTTGGGGTTTTTTTTATAACTTTTGTTCGCCATTGGCATGAGTAGTTTAGCTGGCACAGTGCACATACCTTTTCCTTCACCTACAGCCACTATTTAGACGGTCTAAGGTGGTGTTCTATGAAAAGCTACAGCAAATAAATTCATCTTGGTTCATAAATTCTGGATCGAAATGACCAGTTTATATGCCTGAAAATAGCATGTAACATTTGTTAGAAGCAGTTTGCAGAGTTAAATTACAAACTCCTAGAAGCTGAGGAATGCTGGCAAACACTTAACACTGGAGGCTGTTATTTCCACTGGAACAGAAGGAAGAACATTTACCAGAATCAATACTTACAGTAAAATTGATGAGGTCGTAATGCAGATGGAGCTGCTTCTGCTTAGTAACATGTATTGCACCCGAATCATCTCTCTTTACCTAATAATGGAATTAAATGAGAAAAAAAAAAGCTCAAGCTCAGTGGTTTCTCCAACCCGGTATCTTCCCTAGAGAAATGAGCCTCCTACACTTTTACCAAGGAACATAAACGTATTCCAGGGGCCAGGGATCTCTTTGGAATAGGGAGAGTATGCAGTGTCAGCAATTACAGAGATGGCCATTTAGCAGCTCCACAGCTGAGGCTGCATTCTAGAACAGGCTTCGAATGGGACATTTATTCCTCCCTCAAAGCAATGATTTTTCAGAGGCAAATGTCACACATGTATACTCTTGTCTTTTGACTTTTTTAAATAGTCTTTTGTTCCATTTCTTTTCAGACATTTTTAATACAAAGTGGTTGGAACAGAAGTCTGCCCACAACCTGTTCACGATAGTCTGTCTTTCCCTTGTGGGCTTGTCAAAAAAGACACCAGGTACCTACAATTGACAGAAGAGCCACCTATCTCCAGAACCCCTCATTGTCTTAGCAAGCCCCTTTGTAGTTTAATACTCCACAATGACTCAGCCCTTGTGGAAGGGACTCTTGGACAGGAGGGGCAGCTGTCCAGTGTGAAGTCTGAAAAATCTCAAGCATTAGCATTAAACTTGACTTCTATTTGACTTCTATTTGTTCAACCAAAGAAGGGCCAGAATCAACATGCAGCAACTGAGATGAGACCTTCATTAGAGTTGGATAATTCAAAAGACAGCTGAAAAGAATTCAGAAAGGTCTTTGAGGAAAAATAAATAATCGCTTCAGCAATGAATTCAGAACGGTCTTTGAGGAAAAATAAATAATCGCTTCAGGGTGCTAACAACATATCCAGAACATTTCTGCTCACAAAAGGCTATTTTTCCAAGAAAAGTACAATAAGGACAGTGATATGAGATGGAAAAGCTTCTTCAATCATAACTAGCTAAAATATTAACATCATTACACCCCGATACATTTAAACCTTGCTGAATGCTCTTAAGCTATTTGTCTCAACAAACTTTAGAGCTGTCTACACAACATACAAATTATCTGTAGCTCAATGTTCCAAATAAGGTCAGAGCTTCAAATGTGCTTGGTGTTACATTAATGCTTAGAGTATGCCTAAACAGCACAGCCAAGTAATCCAGATGGAAAACCACATTAGTGCATCTGTACTATTTCTGGTACCCAGGCCAGCTCCATGATCACTGAAAAACACTGCTAGGTATTATGCAGACTTGCCCTTAGCGGGATGCATCCCAGCCTATCAACTGAACCAAGACGACAGACAAAAGGTGGAGGAAGGGAAGAATTATCATTTGAACCTGAAGCACAGAGGACTCAAGTCTCGTGCAGAGTCTACAGCAGTGCTGGGAAACAAACCTAGACGTGCTAACAACTAATCCAATCTATTAACCACAAAACCATCCTTCCTCTTGAAAGCAGACTAGAGGGCATTTCATGAGCAACTTGAAATGCACTACTTCCTCAGACCCACAGAGTAGAAACTGTGCAGACACACACAAGGCCTGGGGGTTTCCCGTGGCACTTAACCATCAACTGCCTCTACACACATCTTTTGAGATCCATAGCTTGGAAAGAGCACACACAGCCCTCCATTCAAGTGCTCTCCAAAAGCCAATCCATCTCCACTTGACTTCAACAGGAGATGGACCAGGCCTCAAGCCAGGGTACAAACTGTACAGTGAAGGAAGGTCAAAATGGATCTGGAGAGAACACGCTAAAATCATCATGGTAACCATTACGTAACTTATTTCTTCTTTTAACTGGAAGTCACAAAGCATTTGCTCTACCTCTGCAGGCCTAATAGTGTCAATCTACACATGTCCATTATCTGCTCAACAGGCCAATTGGTTTTCCCAATTCAGTGGTAAGCTGACAACCTGCAAACCAGAGGACAGCACTACACACTTCCACTGACTTGGAGCAAATGGGTCAATGCTCAGGCACTCTGGAAGTAGTTCCTTGAAAGGGCAGGCAACACTCTATCCGGACTTACCAAAAGAAAATGAACCACATCTCCACGACAGAAGGCAAGCATGGGGTTTACCGAGTTCTGTACAGCAACAAAGTGCCAAGCCAGCAAAGGAACGCTGGAGGGATCCATCTAGGTCAGAGAAAAAGAACAGCCTGTGTATGATACTATGCACAGAAGGAAGCTCTATTCCGTTCCATCTGTCACAGCTCAGGCTCACCACCTGCTCTGACATCACATTAACCAGGTCAGAAGTGAGTCTTTTGGCACCAGTGGTGACTCCCCACAACTCTAGCACTTAAGAATCCATTTAGAAAGCCTGCAAAAGCAGGCTTTTGGCAGCAGAGATCATTCCACTGCAACACTGACCACAAAAACCTGGGATTCTCATGGGCATGCATGAATTGCCAAAAAACCCAAATCTCATTAAAATGGTGACAACGGATCAATCAAAAGTTAAAATAAAGTTATGTTATATGCATGCTGCACTATATTATATGCATGCCCCCTATAGACCCAGGGTATTAATAGTCAAGTCTAAACTTAACAGATGCAAACCCATTAAAAGTAGGATACTTCATAGTTAGAGCACTTATACACCCTTAACTCTGCCCCATAAGGACTCTACAAAATAACCACAAGTACAGCACTGGAGTGTTTTTGGGTCCTGAATTAGACTGAATTAACTATGGGGATATACAAGAGGGTTTTCCCCCCTGCCTTGGTGTCACTATGAGTATGATCAATTTATGCCCCATGCCATGAGAACAGCTAGCCAACAGCAGGGAGCCAACACATGCCTGCTGCTCATGCTTCCCAGAAAAGCTCAGAGCTATTATGCCCGAGGGACAATTTAAGGCAGCCTTCATTGCTCCCCCTCAGGCCTTGAGCTGGAATAAACTCAGGCCTACAATGAGCTATGGTGATGGGGATTAAGATGGAGGCTATTGCTCAAAGACCTAAAGGAGCAGCACCCCACACATTCAGATCAGCATTCACCCTACATCCACCCATTTCCCTCAAGGAAGGATTTGTAACCTTAACTTAAGGAAGGAGCTGTTTGCTGGTTACTCACACGACCATATGGAAAAGTCATCCACACTTTCAGAGATGGCTTCAACCCAATGACAAGGATCTGTAGCGAAAGAGAAAATTACAAAAATACATTTGAAATCTCCATTTTGGATTACCTGCATGTGTCCTTCATTCCAGGATAGCACACAAAGCCTTTCATGAGACCAGTTACCTTAGTCAAGGAGGCCATTGCTAGCAGGGAGTACTGGGTAATAGGATGATCTCTCAGTTCTGTCTTTGCATGCAAAGGCTCAATACAGCAAACTTCCCCCTTGGATCCGCTGAACAGACACCGAGACTCGCAGGTTCTCACTCCCATCACTCTCCTGAAAGAAGAGCCATCAACCTGATAAGCAGCTGGCTGGCATCAGACCACCCCACACTATACACTAAACATATCCCAGGAAAAGAAACACTGTGAGCCCTCCTTTTCATGATGCCTGGTGCAAGTTCAAGACGGCCTTCAAGGCATTCCAAACAGCACTGCAGGAAGAGACAAGGAGTCCTTGAGATTCTGCTAGCAGGAGAGTCTTGGCACCTCCTGGCTACTCATCAGATGCCACCACCATCCTCTCTCATGTATAGAGTAGCCTGTTGGGCTCTAAGCCCCCATTCCTGTCCCTGCCCACAGCTGTGGCAGTCTCCTCCACCCTGCAAAGAGGGAATTTCCAAGAACCATCTTAAAGTTTAAGCCAGCCATCGGATTTGGGGACCTGGGCTGGACAACTGTGAGCCGCACTGTGGGCAGAGGGGCAAAACAACTCTATGGCAACTGCCAGGAGCCGCTAAGAAAAGGTTACTTTTTCCCAGGGCTGCTGTCAGCTGTCTGCTTTAGATCCTGCCTCACAGACCTCCCCACAGACAGTCTTCTCCCTGGAAGTGCCACAAGTGCTGCTTGGGCAGCACCAGCAGGGTCCCCAGTACAGCCAGAGAGAAAGGTACTACAGCCTACTGCTGCATTACTGCTACTTGCACTCACAGTTTGAATCCAAATGCATATGCCACTGCAAATGCAAGGTCAAATGATTGATCCAGTGCAAAGTCTAGCATGAAGAGGGAGGGGGACACTGCTGGACTGTGCTACATCAAATGGAGTCTCAAACTTGGCCTTCCCGATTCAAATTATTTCCTTTCTGCTTTGGCTTTCAAGATCTCTGACTCGGCACTATCTTTTCCATAAAGCTATTCTCTTACTTAAATGACAGTTCGAAGACAGAGCCTCCACTGTCGTTGCAAATTGCAAGGGTCGGGTCGTCTGTGAACTGAAGAGAGAATTAGATTAAAACCGACATCAGGAAAGAGACAGGGTTGAGCTAAACAAAGTGAAACTGTGACAAAAATCGTGGAATCGGGTTTTTCTATCTATTAACTGCAGGACATCTCTTAATGAAATAAGGAATATTACTCTTTCTGTTTATATATTCATCCTGTACAACACCTGAGACATCTTCAACAAGATGACTGAACAGTTACTTGCTCTCATAAAATACCAGGGCCATAAAAAATGCTTACAAATGAAGTCGGTAGACGTTATTATGGAATTGTCATTGATTTCTATGCAAACCATAAAACAACAAAAACACACTGCAGTAAAGCAAATACTGTATGTCTGGAAGCATTCCTGTTTTAAAGGACGTTAGTATCAAGCCTAACTCTTCATGAGTATATTCTTTCCACACAACCCCCATTCATTTGCAGAGGTCAAACCAGACTACAGCTTCGTGTAACCAATTCTTACAGAAGGCAATTTTAAAATCTGAGGGCAAAAGGCAACAAGGGTGACTAACTTGCAGCATGGGTGCCACAAGGGACATGGGCAGCCTCTGTGCCAGGCACGTGGCAGATTGGGACAGGCAGCATGGCAGCAAATAGGGCAGGAAGCAGAAAGCAGAGAGCAACAGACTGGACAGAGGAAGGATGTGGAGCTAATTTATGGCACATCTGCCAAAAAGGTTTGGCCCATACTCAGCTATAGCATTACAAGAGCAGCCTGAGAGAGAGAGAACAATTATCTTCTAAGACTCCTGCACTACTTTACTTGCATGCAGATCCATGATTTAATTCACAGACATATCCTTGTAGTTGGGGAGATTAACTTGATCCCTCCCTACACAGAACAGTGTCCCTCAGGACATAAGAGCAGCCACAAGAAGAGTCCTATTGGGTCCTCCAACTCTGAAATGATTTAGCCTCTCACATGGCATAGAGGGGAGAAACTGCAAGATATAAAGCCTCAAACTTATAAGCTAAGAAAGCACACGTGACATTTCTTTCGCCACAAAACAAAGAAAATAAAGCCCTACCAAGCGGTCAGAGTGAACCTGTGGACACCACCATGGTATCATATGGGCCAAGCTTAGTTTAATTCCTGGCTATCCAGACTGTATGTTGCAGTGGCAAGACTGTAGAAAATATATAGTGTAAATAGGCTGATCACTGCCCATGCTGTAAATCACTCTTGAGCATGACCTAGTTACAAGCATCGTATCCTAGTCTGAAATGCAGCATATTTTTTTCCTGAATAAAGAGGACTGTCAAATAGGTCTTCCAGCACCACTATGACTCAAAGGGGACTCCAAGAAACTAAGTAGCACCTTTTCCTTCTACCAGGTGTCTGCTCCTCTTCCCCATGCAGCTTCCTCTATGAAGACTGAAGAGCACAAAGGGGGAAGCGCATCTGCTTTAGCCAGTAAGAAAAAGATGATTTTCCCTTCTCTATGGTTTTTACCTTTACCCCCGTTTTTTTTCTCCACACACTGGCTTCAAACAGGTCTGAATAAGTCACCATCTTGCTGTCTGCCCTGGGACAGGGAGGCAGTTTAGAGTGACGGATGACCAACAGCTTCTGGTTCTTCCATGTTCTCACCTTTCCAGCTAAGACTTACCACGGGAGGAAGGAAGAGCCCCTTGTTAGCTTAAACAAGGGTTAGACAGGCAACAGGGACAGAAGACAAGACTGTGAAGGTGGCCAGGATGGCTTTCCCCTTGTTTTTTTTATCGTAAGCCAAGTCAGAAAGTACAAGATGCTTGCCAAAGGCAAGGAACGTGAGTGGGAGTCCTGGATTTCTTGCTGGTAGGGGGTTCATTCTCCCTGGGGCTGAAGGGCACAGCAGCCCCACCTGTGCAGACTGACTCCTTGTGCAAGTTTCCTTTGGGCTCGTTCACTATCTGAGTGAGAGAGCTGCAGCAGGCCTACCTTGTTCTGATGTACAAATTCTGAACTTTGATGATTTTCAGTTAATCTTTCATCCTGACAGACAGAACCCACCAAACAGAGATAGCCCATCAGTCCACCTCCAACCACACTGCAAAGAACAAACCACCCATTCATGAAGTCCTGTGTTCAGGAGTTTTAAAATCAGGAATACCTGGTCCAATTCATTATCAGTTTTGGCAGGAGGAAAACAAACAAACAAACTTCTCTCAACTGATCCTAACTTATCAATTTTGAGGCCACTAGTTTTTTGTTGATTTTTGGATGGAGTGGGGACAAACTTGAGCTGTAATGGAAAACTCTGTTGTCCTCTTAACTCTGGTGCAGCTATTATTTTTATAAATTTAGCTTTTCAGCCTGAAAAAAAAAAAATATCAAGAGAATTAAAAAAGCATAACGTATACATCTGCATCCATTTAACAGACCTCCGGCTATTAGCTTTTAGCTCTTACAGAGCATCAGTAGATCTCAAAGCACTGTACAAAAGGAGACAGATGATAATAGTAAAAACTCGTTACCTTGACGTGCAAAATGGCTGTTCCTGGGGGATGAGCATCTGTTATTGATCTCAGAAGTTTCCCACTAGCCAGATCCCACATAGTAATCTACAAAGAGAACACATTTCCTTCAATATGACATTTTGCTACTAAAACTGGCCAAGCTGAAACAAGATGCTCTCCCTGCTACCCTGAATCATCAAAAGTCAACCAGTTTCTGCACTCCAAAGAAACCTGCAACCTAAGCAAATTTTCATTTTATAAGCCAAAATGATCCTAAATTTTGGGAACCAACTGCTTTTCTATCATCAAACCAAAATGCTCAACACTTCTAAACTGGAATCAATTTCTTAAATCAACACCATCTCAAAAACAGCAGAAGGCAGAAACAGCGAAGTACAGGTCCTTTAAACCAAAGCAGGAGAAACTTAAGCTGAGTCATTGGGTTCCCTGAAAAGAGATGTTGGGAGACAGGCAAAGCTCTCTAAGAGAGACCGTTTTCCCTCAGACTGACATCTGAGATGCACAAAAATATTAGTTATGCATCCTAAATAGCATCGTTCCCCAATACTCTTATACCTCTGACATCAGAATTACCTGTCCTTTTGCAAAGCCGCACAGAAGTCTCGAGCAGTCATTATTGATACTGAGAGCTGAGATAGCCCCGTACTGGGCACCAACAGCTGTGCTGCCAAGACAAAGCCGAAGAGCCTGGTTCTGATCTATTGAGAAACAGGGATTAGTAAGAAACCAGTGAGAAAATAATGGCCTGATGGCAAAAATTAAGGCCTCAGCCCTACCAACATGTATGGGCATATTTACTATACTGTGTGCCTATAGTTAAGCCCATGCAGAAACGTTTGCAGGATCAAGGCTCAAGTCAGTAAAGAAAAGGAAACACACTTTGTATCTATGTAACATAGGAGAGAGAAATTATAAAACAAAGTAGCTTCAAGGGGGTGGGCATAGAAAAAGATTCAGTACTAAATGAAGATAAAAACAAAATGGTAGTGACCCACTATAAAAGCACCTATTTAAATTACATTACTGGAATGATTTTACAGTAGTGCTTTGAACTTCTCACGAAAGACTCCTGTTTTGCCAACAGGCAGCATGAAAGAAAAATTTGGAAAAGAATTTAAAATTCATTCAAAAGAACATGAGAAGTCAGACTTCGATAATCAGTTCCAGGGTTCCCCAACACAGATTTCTGAATCCTGCTATTTTATTCGTCTTCCATGCCTTCATTTGATTGATTATCCCACAAAACGTGGAGGGGAAAGAACCTGTGCCTCCTGGAACAATGGCATCCTCCTTCTAAGCACAGATTGCTCTTAGAGGGTGAACAAAATTTCAAGCAGAGGCTGGACAGAAGATGCCTGACTTAAGAAAGCGGCCTGGTTCACAGACACTATATCTGAACAAGCAGAAGGATCTCTTCTGCGGAAGTAGGCGCATTTTAATTTGAAATTCATGGACACTGAACAGGGAAATAAAGAAAGTCAAGCTGGAAAAAAGATAGAACAAATCTATGTTTAGTACATAGGGTTTGTTCCCAGTTAAAGTGTAATTCAAAACCCAGGGGTTTTCCTCCACTCTTCTTAATACAGTGACTTCCTTCCTTCTCTAATTCCTTGCACAATTGCAGAGAAATTGCATCCTCCCCAAATATACTTGGTTTGTACATTGTAATCTTTAAATTTAAGGGGGGGTGGGAAATCTCACTTTCTTATATAATTTATTTTTTTTAAGTTTAAGCTTTGAAGCATTAGCTTCACTCCTAAAAACTTGCTACCTAGAAACTGAAGTTTTGTTGCTAGAAAAATAAAACATGAAAGAGGAGCTTATTTTAATTACTCATCAAGTTTTTAAAAAGACACATGCCCATCAGATCTTTCCCTTCAAACAATCATTTCTGTATGCACTGTAATATTAGCAAAGCATTTTCAACAGCGAGTTAAGTAAATGACATACGAGATCTTTCAGTCAGCCCTATACAAATCTAACTCTTATTAGGTAGTTTTGCATTATTAAAGGACCAGTGTCGAAATTACTCAATAACAATCAATCTTTTTAAGGTAAGAAGGCACCCAGTGTAGCCCTTGGATGCACACCAAAACAAAACACAATCCATAGTGCATTGTTCACACCAAATGAAGCAGGGACCATCATCCCAGTATGCTGCTACCGGCCCTTCTGTTAACTCATGTCAGAGGACTGTGCTGTGGATCTAAAAATCCCAACTCCACTGATACCTGTGTTAGGGAAGGGGTGTCAGCATGGTTCCATAGTGCAGACTGTGGCCTGAGGATGAATCAGGGCTGTGCAGTGAATGATGCTGCTGTTTAGTGGAACCATGTTGCTCTTGCAGAAGTTAGATAGTAGCTAGTGAACTGAGCAGGAGGTATAGAGTACAAGTTTTGGTGAACTCAAGCTCACTTCATCAGATGCGGTGAAAGAACACGCAGAAAGAAAGGGAGAGCAAGAGCACAAGTACAAGAGCCAAAAGAAAAAAGTAAATGAGCAGTAAACCTATAGGAACAAAAAGGGGGTCACAAAAAGTAATCCAGATAAGATTGGAATCGATAGCCCCTGTATAAACCATAGCAAGTACAACATGATCCCCTTCACTGGATAAGGAAGATTTAAAGCATTATTATTATTACTACTACTCATAATAATAATGGAAAACCGCAACGAAAGAGCAACCCATTCAATAAGGACCATCCTGTGCACTGAACGAGACACTTTCCCACCCAAAGAGTAACAGGCTATCACATAAAGAGCTGTCATGGTATATACGCCCAAGGAGGCTGCATTAGGACTATGCAAGGAACTTTAATTCCGAGAATTCCTAGCTTCTGAAAGCTCAACTTTGCACCTTTGGTTTTCATAACTGCAAGGCACTCCGATGCTAGAGCCATGAGGGTGATACACAAAGCTAGGCAGACTGGAGCAGAAGAGGCAAACCAGTCCTTAGAGAAGATCCTCTGGAAATTCTGAGCTACCTATATTAAAACAAGTGCCCTCCCCACTTCCCCAAGGATGGTCTGAACAGGAGCTAACTTTGGCTGCTAAACTGTTCATTAACATTTTAAAATGCAGGTGCCCCAGGATATTCTGCATGTTAAAAAAAAAAATGTTAAAGTCTGGAAAGTAACAGCCTCAAGCAGCTGCAGTCATTAAATGAGACGCAGCTTGGTCTCTCCTTGGGATGTGAAATTCCAACATAAAAAAAACCCAAAAACCTCATCTTGATTTTAAAAAAATTAAAAAACCCATACAAAACAGCAGCTTCTTCATACAGAGCATGGATTGCATTTTGACTACTCTACTTCAGCTTCCTGGAAGCAAACCGAACCGCTACACCACCCAGCCAAAACTTCTCATCTTCGGCAATCCCTCACAGTAGAGGATGAGTGTCTTTCATGACTGTCCTATCTGTGGGTCCAAAGAAGGCTGACTAGGCTGATCCAGGATCGACAGACTCTCTTACAATTCGGGCGTGTTTTCATGGAAGGTGGGCAGCTCTGGGTTCTTAGTTCAGTCCACAACATGCTGTTTCTGCCACTCCTGCTTTTCCATCTCTTGTTGCCGTCATAAGGTTTCAAAGTACTGAGATCCTTGCAGCAGACTCTTCCTCCATGGGCAATAGTCTCCCACGAGCTGATGTCAATGTTGCATTTTTTTCAAGTTGGCCAAAAGACTGTCCCTGAAGCACTTTCACTTGAGTGTACACCTTAACTGAACTAGGAGAATAAAGCTTATTTCAGAAGTCTGGAATTGGACACCCGGATGGCCAGCCCAGTGACGTTGATGTCAGATGATCATCACCTCATTGCTCATGGTGTTTGCTTGCAAGAGGACACCAATGTTGGTGCATCTGTCTACATGCTGGATTTGAAGGATCTTCCACAGGTAGCGTTGATGGTACTTCTCCTGTTCACTGTCCATATTTCAGCTTCATACAGTAAGGTGGGGACCACATCTACTTGATAACTCATGATCCTGGTTTCAGATCTGATGTTGGGATCTTCTAACACTCATTTCCTCAGGTGTCCGAAGGCTGTACTTGCATGTTTGAGGTGATATTGGATTTCTTCATCAATGTCAGCCTTCTGCAAGAGATGGCTTCCAAGGTCAGGAAATACTCAGCATTCTCCAGAGTCTCACCATGAATCTGAATTACTGGAGCTGGAGACTGCTCATTAAGAGCTTGTTGATGGAGGACCTTAGTCTTCTAAACATTAAGCATCAGCCCCATTTGCTTGTATGACTCGGTAAAGATGTCGACATTTGCCTGAAGGTCTGTTTTCGAGTGAGCATAGACTACAGCCAAAACTGATAGATGAATAATTGCATTCAGCAAACCATGTTATATAGGCCCAGCCTTGGACAAGGAGAGGAAACCAAGGGATGAATCTGAGGAATCCCCTGGTCAGCAACATAAATGACCATCTTGCATAGTCTCCTCAAGTTCCTCATGGAAGGTCACTGTAGCACCAGAATAAAACTAGAGTTGTACTATAACCATAAACTGAAACTATCTTTAACTGAACTCTCTCTTGCAAGAGTGCCCCTGGGAACTGTTGAACTGAACGGGATAACATTACTAAGCACCAGCCATTAGACAGACCATAAAGCCTTTCCAAGCACACAGTTTCTTTTTATCCAGCTGTCAAATCTGTTAAGTTAAATACTTCCTATGAAGTACATTAGCAGATTTCCAAGCCAACAGGAAAATGATATGGCTGCAAAGCACATGCCTTGTTTCAGTAGCAAGTTTCATATTTGAAACCTACAAATATTTGAGTCAAAATGGTTAACAAAGCTGGAAATTTTGTTACAGCGTTAATTGTTATTTTTACATTCAGTGAAGGGATAACATTCACACTAGGAGCAATTATAGGCTTCAGATTTTTAAATCAGCATGACTTGTGAGGTCACGTGAAACTGGCAGCTTCCAAGTTAAGGAACAATTTGAATTATTAGGTTAGGAAATTTTAACAAGTGGGTTACAGGTAACAAAGAGATTAGGGCTATAGAGTACAATTACTGATGAATTTCAAAATAAGTTGAAGCCAATTTTGAATTATTAAATGCAAAAGTCTTTCGAACGCAACATGTACCCCAAAATGAAAAGGTTTGACTAATTATCTCAAGAGAATTTTGAAATCAGTTGTTGTTGCTTGCAAATTGTTTGATCTTTTCATAAACTTAAGAATAGCTTGCAAAGGTCACCACTAATGTCAAGAACTCTGGCCGAGTTCAGATTGAATAAATGGATATGGAAATGTAATAAAAAAGAATCAGTGTTTCCGTATCAGTACAAAATTGCCTCTCCAGAAGAGCAGAAAATTGGAATACATTTCTTACTGCATGGTAAGAGCAATTTATTATACTGCAATAAAGTTTAGCATGCTACATGAAATTGATTTATACAAACTCTGTGTGTTATCATTTAACTCTATAATGTCAGCAAGCTGCACCTTTAAATGTGGCAAAACTGACAGATCCAGACTTAAGGCACAGCAGCAAGAGAGAGCTTCCAAGCCCAGTGACGTAATGGCACTAAGCACAGGTGCTGGTCATGCCCTTAGCTGACACAGTGGCATCCAGTAGGCCAAGACTTGCTACATCCCCAGCATATGCCAGTAGCACAGCTTCCCCGTTCCTTCCGGATGCCCTACCTTTTGCAGAATCGCAGCACTTGTCAGCACTAGGTTCACTGAGCAAGGAAGCTACTCACTCAGATTCTCTGCTAGCTGTCTGCATGGTGCTATAGGTTCCCCACGAGTTGAGCCACATGCAGTTGCCCACAGAAGGAATCAGCAACCCACTAGCCCACAGCCCCGGCACCCAAAAGGCATTGGGGAGGGATGCCAACTAGGTTACCAGTAGCAGCAGGCTGCCCCTTGAACAGTTGTCAATAGTCAACCCCTGCTTTTAAATGTCCTGTGATGAGCTCTGCTACCGCTGAGACAGGAGTACTCAACTTCTCCACTGGAGCACCACCACTGGCAGCTTGCAGGGAGAGGCTGGTCCTGGTCTTGCAGAAGAATGATTTTACCTGGCTCACAGACTGCTTGCTAACTGCAGAAGCAGCACAGATGCCCTGCTCTAACAGGCCACAGACACAGCTTTTTCCTCTGCTCTTCTGGCAGCCAGTTCCACAGGCAGTTGCAGACCCCTTATGTCTTAAATCCCTAGGGTAGCAAGCAGCATGATGCATGACCCAGCCAGAGACAACCCTGCCCCACGTGCTGTATACATCTCACATCTTGAGCAAAGATATGGTAACCTGTCATGTTTGCGTCCAAAATACCACTGTGAAAGAGTTAAAGAAACAAGAGCCATTCATGCAATGCACATGCACAATGCGATGTTACTGTACCTTTTCCTTCAGAGTCCACAGAGAGAAGGGAGGGCAGAGAGAGAGAGAGAGAGAGAGAGAGAAAAAAGCCAGAAATCAATACAAAAGAAGACAGAAAAGCTGTAACAACATACATAACAAATAAGCTACAGGGGAGGCCTGTGCCTCCAGGTCCTGCTGGTGGAAAATATTGCATTAACTCAGTGTTTTGTTAGTTTAACTACTAGAGGGAACAGGCAGCATAGTCAGTCATTTCACACAGAAGGGAGGGAATTCAACCAGATGTGTGAAATCCCAATAGAGAGTATATTTGCTATATCATTTATCATCCAAAGGGAGGATTTTCAACCCACACATTTTTTGAAAACTAAAGGCTAATGCCTTTAGATTGAGAAGTGTACATCTCATTGCCTTCCAGTGGGGCTTGTACACCCAAGTCCCACAGGAGACTAGAAAAAATCTCCACAGTAAAAAGCCTTACAGATGCAAGAGAGCAAAAATGGATAGACTTTCTCCATTGCAAATGCAGACTGCTAGTAATCATTAGGGCTGTGCGAAGCTTCAGGTGGTGATTCGATTTGGAGGAGATTCAGCCACCAAATCCGAATCGAATCAGGGGACCGATTTAAAAGGTCCGAATAGATTCAAAGCTCTCCGAAACTTTGGCAAAGATTCGGAGAGCTTTGATGATTCAGGCAGTCCCTGGTGGCTGCAGCAGGGAGCTGCAGGCACTCCAAGCTGGTAAGTACTGTCATGACCCAAAAGGCATGATTGTGTGTGCGCGCTTCCGCACCAGAATTATCC